ACATAGCCGAGGAGGCAATTTGGATGAGTGAACAGATTATTAGGATAGGTGCTGTAATGGAGAATTGTACAGTGCCTTTGAAGCAGTTGGGAGAAGTTCTAATGATAAATGACATTTGAGTTGATTCTTAGAAGTTTGCCAGGTTGAAAGGAAGTAAAGGATGTTCCTTACAGAGAGAATGCTCTTTTTTTATATCCTTACCTGAGGACTTGCTTAGAGAGAGGAAGGGGATGGGGGGGGGGGGGGGCAGATATGAGAAAGAAACATTGATCAGTTAGTTGCCTTCTCTATGTGCCCCAACCAGGGATCAAATCTGCAACCCAGACATGTGCCCGGACCAGGAATCAAACTGGCCAATCAAACCTTTCGGTGCATGGGACAGTGCTCAACCAACTGAGCCACTCTGGCCAAGTGAGAGAATGCTCTTGGGTGGTCTAATTTATTTTAGCTAAGAACTTGTACAATCTAGACATAGGTAATTAACCACTAAACTTCGCAACTCAAATAGCATGTCTTCAATGGGCCTTTGGCATGTACACTTTGTGATTAAATTCTCTCCTGGGCCTTCAGAGATTCTGGCACGTGGTCAGTGACCTGTAACTAGGGCATGGGTCGGTGGATGGACGGAAGGAAAGGGAAGCCCTATGTCACAATATCACAGAGTGTGGATGAGGTAGAGTTATCACTGTTAGAAAGCTTGGAAGTTGATTTACATTTTCAGCCAAATAGAAGAGCAATTTATTTTTGTACAGCAAAGGGACCTAGAGTAGAGCCCATGTTTGCCTCAGAAAATAGCTTGAACTCATGAATTACCTGCCCAAACATTTAGCTTGGACTCTAGAGTCCTATGCAGCATAAAAGGGATGAGTTCACTCTAAAAAAGATTCAGGGCGGTATTGTCAGCTAATCACAACATCCCTGAACTTGAGCCAGGCCTCTGTGCAGTGTCTGATTTTGAACAGAGCTGCTTCCTCTTGGTCCCCCTAGAATTATTAAGCTGTGCAGTGTATGCCTGAATGGTTCAGAGGCTTGACCCATGGAAGGGGTCATTTTAGATGAAGGCTTCCCAAGTGCAGTCTTAGTTTTGGTGTGCTGATGTTGAGCGACTTCTCCCAACAGTTTCTAGCCATCAGGCCCACAGACTTCTTCAGACTCTTCTCATCCAGCAGGATACACCCTTTTCTTTCAACCTCCAGAATTGTGTACCTACCTGCTTGACTGTTCTCTTGGATGTCCGAGCTGCTAAGACCTAAACAGAACCATTTGTAAATCTTGTCCTTCATCACCTGCTCCAGATCTGTGCCTCCTCCTGCTGTGTGCTGCTCTCACTAAGTGGGCCACCGTTTACCTAGTGACCCAAGGTCGGAGCCAGGTGTGAGTTCTTGACATCCTTCCTTGGCCCGTAAGTCTAACCAATCAGTTTCCTGAATATTCTGACATCCACCTGCCTTACTTTGTTTGATGTGCCATCAACCATCACCCTTCATTCGAACTACTGCCCTGGCCTCCTCCCTGCCTCCCGGCTTCCACTTGTGCTGTTCCTACTCAGTTTTCCACAGGGCATCTACAGTCATTTTTGTAAAACGTAACTTGATGATGTCATCTCATGCTTACAAGACTTCAACGGCTTCCCATGACACGAGATAAAATAAAAAGGCTTTGTCCTAGCCTCCATGGCTGGGCACGACATAGCCTTAACTGACCTCCCCAACTTTATCTTTTCCTCCATTTCTTCTCTTTCACTCTGCCTCCAGCCATGCTTACTCTCTTTCAGCTCTTGAATGTACCAAGCTGTTTCCTACCTTGGCATCTTTTCCCCAGAATACCGTTGTCCATGCTTCACCTGGCTCGCTCCTCATTTTTAGGGCTCATCTTCACTGTTCCTTTTTCCTGAGAAGTCTTCCCCATCAGTCTAAAGTTGCCCTCTGGGGTTCCTTATCAAGACGTGTCGGAGTTTAAGAAGATGTGTTTGTTTCCTCTGCATCTCTTCCTGGTAACGGGGTGCTCCGTGGGGGACCTCATCTGTGTGGGTCCCCACCGCGCCGAGGAGCACACTGCTTGTACCAGGGCGGTGCTTCATAAACATTTGTTGAATGCAAGACTGGTTGTTAAAATTAAAATAAAAGTAGATCTGGAAAGGGGAATCTTGGCTCTGTGTACAGGGCCAGTGGGGCCCGTGTCTAATCCCTGTAGCGGGTTCGTGCTCTGTTTCCATGTGAGTGCTGAGTCGAGTACGAACAGAAAGTCAGTTATTTGCTATTGCCTTGCTGCAAAAAAAAGAAAAAGGAAAAAAAAAAATGCAAAAGAAAAGCTTGGTAGCATTTCTAGAGTTTGTCTTTGAGAATTCAACAGATTAAGTTTAGGTCCTGTTTTTGCTCCTGTCAAATCTTGAGCAAGTTAACACGTTCTCCCAGGTCTGTTTCCCCGTGTATAAAATGTGGAAAATTATATCTATCCCATGGGCTTGTCATGAAGATTATATGAGATTACGTATGCAGAGTATCTCATACAGTGCTTGGCGCCTTGTAGTTCAGCCATTTTTTCCTTATCCCCTTTAAATCACAAGAGATTAATAAGGACTTCGAGAAAAATTCATTTAACTTACCTCGTAAGCTTATTGTTCTTATTTAATGCTAAATCATACCCAGGGGCACTCATAAGAGGTCAAAATCAGTTTAAGAGGAAGTAAACCATCTCTGGGGTGCAAATAAACAATGATGGACTGGTTATTTAATGGCCAATAACATTGGGCTCCCTCAGAAAGATGCTCATGGAATTCTTCTTTGCCTTATTCCAGGAGGTTTTTTTTTACATTGTAAAATTAAAATAACAAACAATTACAAGTAGATATTTTTCATTCTAGTTCAAGTAGATATTCTGTAGAGATGGCCCATAAGAAAATATTTTTCCCATTTTAGAGAAGACTTGGCAGTACCGTTGAAAACTCTGGAGTCTGAAGCTCTTCTAATTATGTTGTCAGCTTTGGGAGTAATTTTTAAAAGTTTAGTGTTCTGAAGACAGTTTATTAGATTCAAATGGGCTAGATTTGAATTAGTAAATCGTGTATATATACCACCTACTTAGGCATTCCAATCTAGATGCTAGATTGAGTTTAAGGGAAATGCTGTGTTATAGCTATCAAAGTCATCCAGGAATAATTCTCTGCCTCAATATTAAGTCAGAATAACTCACTGACCCTTGCCTCTATTAAATGTGTTTCGTTGGATGACATGAGACAGTACCGTGGCAAGGGGAACTGTTTCTCAATAAACCAAGTCCTCCAGAGAGCTAGGGGCTTGAGCATTAAAAGTTCAAGGCCTAACCCTAGCCAGGTAGCTCAGTTGGTTATTGTCATCCTGAAACACCAAGGTTGCAGTTCAATCCCCAGTCAGGACACATACAAGAAGCAACCAATGAATGTATAAATAAGTGAAACAACAAATCAATATTTCTCTCTCTCTTTCTCTCTTCCTTGCTCTAAATCAGTAAATAAAAAATTTAAAAGAAAAGATCTTATTTAAAAAAAGTACAAGACCTGTTTGCTTACTTGAATATTGACGCAGGCAAGGAGCTATAATGTTTATTATGGCATGGGTGTGACCTAGGGTGTTGACCCAAGGGAATAGACAAGACAATTAATAGGTTGAGACATTAATTGATTACTTAGCCCAGTTGTTTAGAGCGTGGGAACTTTAGGGAGGCCAAGTGAACAGATGGGAATTCCTTCTGGGACTCTCTTACTCTGCCATGTTCTGTAGCTATGATCTCGCCTCAAGCCCAAGCCAGGCATCTTGAAATGTGTATGATTGACTATTTGGGACATTAGACTAATACCCTGTGACTGTACTAACACTTTAGAAGGCATGCTGTATTGATATGGGGTGGGGGGCTATATGAGTATTGATGTCTAGACATTGCTTTTAGCTCATCGTCAATTTCTCATAGCAAGTTCGACTTCATAATATAGCTAAACTGAGACTTGTGGTTGCTAATGTTAACATATGTCCAACATAATGTTAGCATATGCTGTCATCTCATAGAGATGACAAAAACGAGTTATTTTCATTGAAGAAAACAACAACAAAAACCCTGGGCACTGGACACTCCCCTCCCCCCCCCCCCCCCGCCCTAAGGTATTTTACTTTTACCTTTCTTTCTCCTAAGCTCCAAGGGCCCTTATTTTGCCTCTATAAGTTGTCTGAGCCCATTTATTCAATTTTATAAATAAACTTTCTCTTATATAAAAGAAATAAATTAATTAAAAAAAAAAACCAACCTGTTCTTTTACACATAGGTGTCTGTCAAAGCAAGTAAAAGTTGATATTATCTGTCAGTGGTTCTGGTCATTGAATTTCTTTCAGTGTTTTCTGTTCTGTGTCTGGTGGGGCTGCAGTGTTGTAAAAAGAAATTGGGACAGTACCTTCTCCATAATTTCTGACTTTTTGTTGAGAAGTATGGGAGCCTGCTAATAAATGAAGAAATAATCATTTCCTTTGCTTAAATGCAAGGCTATAGCCCTGGCCGGTTTGGCTCAGCGGTTAGAGCATCAGCCTGCGGTCTGGAGGGACCCGGGTTCGGTTCCCGCTAAGGGCACGTACCTCGGTTGCAGTTTGTCCCCTGCCCTGGTTGGTTGTGCGGGTGGCGACCACTCGATGTGTCCCTTTCACATCGATGTTTCTCTCTCTCTCTTCCTTTCTCTCCCTCCCGCTCTATCTGAACAAAAAATGGAAAAATGTCCTCGGGTGAGGATGATTAAAAAAAAAAAAAAAAATGCAAGGCTATAGTTCAAAACAAATAACCTTGATGTCCCAGCATAGGACTTCAGAATCTCTCCCACTCCATTGGACTGATTTGATGTTTAAATGACTTCTTCAGCATATTTCTGTTTAATGAGATGCTAGAAATTGAAAAGAAGTAGTATTTCTTGGTCTGCCTGTGAGTTACCCATGAGCAGTCTGTTGTGGAATGTGACATGTCTCTTTCCCCCCTTTGTTTTCCAGAATGCTATGAACCTACCCCCTGACAAAGCCAGGTTACTGCGACAGTACGACAATGAGAAAAAGTGGGAGCTGATTTGTGATCAGGTAAGAAACGATGAAATCGAAGCAGTAATAAATAATCTCACAGCAAACAAAAGCTCTGCTTCACAGGGAAGTTTTTACCAAACATTCAAAGAAGAACTAACAGCTATCCTACTTAGACTATTCCAAAAACTTCAAGAGGAAGGAAGACTTCCAAGATCTTTTTATGAGGCCAGCATTATCCTAATTCTAAAACCAATAAAGACACTCGAAGAAAGAAAATTACAGGCCAATATCCTGGATGAGCATAGATGCCAAAATTCTCAACAAATCATTAGCAAATTGGATCCAGCAATATATTAAAACATTATTCACCATGACCAAGTGGTATTTATCCCAGGGGTGGAAGGCTGGTATGATATTCTCAAATCAATAAATGTGGTACACCACATAAAATGAAAGATAAAAAATTAATAGGTGCAGAAAAAGCATTTGACAAAATTTAGTACCCATTTTTGATAAAAACTCTCAGGGATAGAGGGATTATATGTCAACATAATAAAGGCCATATATGACAAACCTACAGCCAACATCATACTCAATGGACAAAAACCAAATGTGTTTCCCTTAGAATAGGAACCAGACAGGGATGTCTGCTTTCACACTCTTATTCAACATAGTACTGGAAGTCTTAGCCACAGCAATCAGACAAGAAGATACAATAAAAGGGATCCAAATTGGAAAGGAGGAAATAAAACTGTCATTATTTGCAGATGACATGGTACTGTACATGAAAACCCTAAAGATTCCACCAAAAAACTACTAGATTTAATAAATGAATCTGGCAAAGTAGTAGGATACAAAATTAACATCTGGAAATCAGTGGCATTTTTATACACCAATAATGAACTCTCAGAGAACCTAAAAAAAAAAAATCCCATTTACCATTGCAACAAAAATGTTAAGATACCTAGGGATAAACTTAACCAAGAAGGTAAAAGACCTATTCTCAGAAAACTACAGGGTGTTGAAAAAAGAAGTAGAGGAAGATATAAATAAGTGGAAGTATATACCATGTTCATGGATTCAAAGAATTGACATCATTAAAATGTCTATACTACCCAAAGCAATCTATAGATTCAACCTAATACCTATTAAATTGTTGACCACCAATTTTACGCAGAAGTTATCTCATGTCACTGGCTATTTTTCATAATTGGGTATGAAAGTGAAACAATCTACATAAACTTCAGTATACTTTATACATAATAAATTTAAATGAAACTTTGTACATATCTGCTACATATTATATTTTATACATATTATATATTTTAGTAATTTTTTTTTGGTGTGGTATACTGTGTAGCAATCACCTACATGTAATAGTATGCAACATGTTTTGCAAATATATCTGGTTTTGCTGCGCTTTCATCTAGGGATAACTCCTGCTTAGGTACACACAAAGACTGAAATTTTGGAAGAAAGTAATCCAAAAGAGACCTAATTTTATATAGTCTGTCTTCATTAGATTTTGTGAATTATCACTAAGATGGAAAAATGTAAGAATTTGCCCGAACCTCATTCTGCTTACAGTTTTAGGAAATATTGGAGCTTCAATGAAAGAGTTCGTTGACCAGTAATCCCTCCAATGTGATTTTTTTTCATTTGTCCCATCAATATCAACAAACCGATAAACTTCTCTACGAATTAACTGGTGAGCAGTCAACAACATTTGGGCATGAAAACACGAGTTAACTTGTGAGGGGTGAACAGTGTATTATTAAAATACCCATGAGCCCTGGCTGGCTTGGCCTAGAGGTAAGAGCATTGGCACATGCACTGAAGGGTTGTGGGTTCAATTCCTGGTCAAGGGCATGTACCTGGGTTGCAGGTTTGATCTCCAGCCACAGGCAGGAGGTAACCAATCAATGTGTCTCTCTCATATCGATGTTTCTCTCCTCTTCCCTGTCCCCCTACCCCCTTCCAGTCTCTAAAAATCAATGGAAAAAATAGCCTCAGATAAGGATTAACAACAACAAAAAATACCAGTGACATAGTTCATAGATCTAGAACAAATACTCCAAGAATTTGTATGGAACCAAAAAAGACCCCGAATAGCCATAGTGATCTTAAGAAAGAAGGCTAAAGTAGGAGACATCACAATACCAGATATAATATTAAGCTACAAAGCTATTGTGATCAAAACAATCTGGTACTGCCCTGGCTGGTTTGGCTCCAGTTAAAGCATTGGCCTGCAGACGTAAGGGTTTCAGGGTTGATTCCTGGCCCCAGTTGGGGTCGTGTGGGAGGCAACCAATTGGTGTGTCACCACCCCCTTCCTTTTTATCTGAAAATTAATGGAAAAATATCTTCAGGTACTGGCTCAAGAACAGGCATATAGATCAATGGAATAGAACAGAGAACCCAGAAATTGACAAAAGACATTATGTTCAATTAATATTTGACAAAGGTGGCAAAAGCATACAATGGAGTAAAGACAGTCTCTTCAATAAATGATGCTGGGAAAATTGGACAGGCATATGTAAAAAAATGAAACTAGACCACCATCTTACATACATAAGAATAAACTCAAAATGAACTTAACTGTAAGTTGTGAAACCATAAAAATCCTAGAAGAAACCATAGGCAGCAAAATCTCTGACATCTCACCTAGTAGAATTTTCACTGATACATTGCCTAAGGGCACGAGAAACAAAGGGAAAAATAAACAAGTATGACTACATCAAACTAAAAAGCTGCACAGCATAAGAAGCCAGCATCACAATGAAAAGGGAACCCACTCTCTGGGTGAACATATTTGCCAATGATACATCTAATAAGGGTTAATATCCAAAATATATAAAGTACTCATACAACTCAACAAAAGGAAGGCAACAATCCAATTATAAAAATAGGCAGAGGACCTGAATAAACACTTATCCAAACAGGACATACAAATGGCCAGGAGGTATAAAAAAAAATGCTCAATATCACTAATCATCAGAGAGATGCAAATTAAAATTACTATGAGATATCACCTCACATCTGCCAGAATGGCTGCCATCAACAAATCTTCAAACAAGTGCTGGTGAGGGTGTGGAGAAAAGGGGACTCTAGCACACTGCTGTTGGGAATGCAGACTGGTGCAGCCACTATGGAAAACAGTATAGAGTTTCCTCAAAAAATTAAAAGTGGAACTGCTATTTGGCCCAGTGATCCCACTTCTAGGAACATATCCTAAGAAACCTAAAACACTTGTCAGAAAGAATATATTCACTGCTGTGTTCATAGCAGCACCAATAGCTGGAAACAGCCCAAGTGTCCGTTAGTAGATGAGTGGATACAAAAGCTGTGGTACATGTACACAATGGAATTCTATGCAGTCATAAGAAAGAAAGATCTCCTGCTCTTTGAGACACTATGGAGGGACCTGGAGAGTATTATGCTAAGCAAAATAAGCCAATCAGAGAAAGATAAGTATCATATGACCTCACTTACATGGGGAATCTAGTGAACAAAATAAACTGAGGAACAAATAGAACCAGGGACATGGATGTTGGGAACAGACTTGAAGAACCTCAGAGGGAAGGGTGGGCCAGGAAGAGATTAACCAGAGAATTTATATGATATGTGCATAACCAATGGACACAGACAATAGGGTTGTAAAATTGGGGGTGGGAGCAAGGAGAAGAGAGGGTCAATGGGGGGAAAACACGAGGGATGTCTGCAATACTTTCAACAGTAAAGATAAATTTTTAAAAAATCATTAGCTCCTTTGCTCAAGGGGGTGCAGACAATGAGGCCCAGGGAATACTGTCTCCCAACACTTCACAGAACATAGGGCTTCTCACTTGCCAACTCTGTGACCTTTGTCTATTTTATTAACTTCATCAAACCTGTGTTTCATCATCTCAAATCTAGTGATAATCACAGGTTGATGCAGTGGTTGTGAAGATTACATGGAGGTCTACAGTCTTTTAAAGTGGAAAAAGAGGGTGTGGCACAGCGGAAGAGGATGTGGTACAGGAAGAGGGTGTGGCACAGGAAGAGGGCGTGGTGCAGTGGAAGAGGGTGTGGTGCAGGAAGAGGGTGTGGCACAGTGGAAGGGGGCCCAGGGCAGTGGTAGAGAGTGTGGCACAGAGGAAGAGGGTGTGGCACAGTGGAAGAGGGTGTGGCACAGTGGAAGAGGGTGTGGTGCAGGAAGAGGGTGTAGCACAGAGGAAGAGGGCATGGTACAGGAAGAGGGCGTGGCACAGTGGAAGAGGGTGTGGTGCAGGAAGAGGGTGTGGTGCAGGAAGAGGGTGTGGCGCAGTAGAAGGGGGCCCAGGGCAGTGGTAGAGGGTGTGGCGCAGAGGAAGAGGGTGTGGCACAGTGGAAGAGGGTGTGGTACAGGAAGAGGGTGTGGCACAGTGGAAGAGGGTGTGGTGCAGGAAGAGGGTGTGGCACAGAGGAAGAGGGTGTGGCGCAGTGGAAGAGGGTGTGGTACAGGAAGAGGGAGTGGCACAGAGGAAGAGGGAGTGGCGCAGAGGAAGAGGGAGTGGTGCAGTGGAAGGGGGCCCAGGGCAGTGGTAGAGGGTGTGGCACAGTGGTAGAAGGAGTGGCACAGAGGAAGAGGGAGTGGCGCAGTGGAAGGGGGCCCAGGGCAGTGGAAGAGGGTGTGACACAGTGGAAGAGGGTGTGGTACAGGAAGAGGGAGTGGCACAGAGGAAGAGGGAGTGGCGCAGTGGAAGGGGGCCCAGGGCAGTGGTAGAGGGTGTGGCACAGTGGTAGAGGGTGTGGTGCAGAGGAAGAGGGTGTGGTGCAGAGGACGAGGGTGTGGCACAGTGGTAGAGGGTGCAGCGTGGTGGAAGCACTCAGCAGAGTTTATCCAGTAGAAGTACAAGGCCTAGAAAAGTAGCTCAATCACATGCTGTGAGGTCTTTGGGCTTAGGCTCCAGGACTTACATTTGAGAGAAATTCAGAGCCACCAATGTAGGCAGACCTCAACTGCCAACAGTTGCCAAAAGGATTGTTACTAAATGAGTAGTGTGAAATGAACACCATTGGAAATGTGGGAAAGTTCA